TATTTTATTTTGGAATTTTAGTGCTAACTCCAGTTGTAATGGATTATCTGGAGAAGCGCGGCACTCTAAGCAGGTACCGTTGGCTGGCGCTGCCCATTTCGCTGGGCGTTCTGGGCATTTGCCTCACTTTTGCCACCCCGCTGGCTTGCGCCCTCTTCAAGCAAAAGGCCAGCTTGCCCTTTTCCAGGCTGGAAGACGAGCTCAAGGTAAAAAAACACTTAGCGCTATGGAAACTGAATCCAGAAATTTCCCTTTGTAGTGCAAACTGCACAAAACGTATGATCACAACGCCCCCAAATACGTTTTCTATAGCAGAATCCTGCATATTCCGGTGCGCTCCTAACCCGCCAGTCCTTATTCATTGGGCATTATTCACTCTTCCTCCATAATAAACTGTGCATTCATCCAAGTTTCCTCATTCCATCAAGGCTTTGCGTAATCAGTTCAATTGAATTTTCAGGACAAAGTTGCAAAGGAGCAGGATATCAGCAAAATCGACCGAGTATTTTTCAACAAGGGCCTGTAAATGCAATATCGATCAGATCAGATCAGATCTAACATTGATGATTGATTGGTTTAAGAACAACTCAAGTCTCAGGACAATATATGTAGTACCTGATGAACCACTCAGATAATTTATTTGAGCCTCAAATTTCCAGCAATTAAAATAGTTTGCCAACTTCGCGCTTTTCTTGCATGTAGCTTCAGGTGGGCCTCCAAAGGAGACTAAGTAGGTTTAAATAAAAGTTTGTTTTGAAAATTTGCGTGTTACTGGTGCGGGTTTTTTCTCTGCAAGCTCAATGCAGGACCGATATGGAATTATCGGGGATTATTTTCGGGCGGCAGGATTTCCAGCTGGAAGCAAACACTTCATCGGGATTTCTAGCCAGTTTTACTACGTCTGGGAATTCGGGCAAAGCGTAGATGTAGCCTGGAAACCAAGAGGGCGGCTGGGAGCCGCGCAGCTGCACTCTGGACATATACTGGACTGGATCAGCTTCCACAAAATACTCAATCCCGTGCGAGAGCTCAGTTTCCAGATTTCCGGACGACTCCAGCTCGTGGATGTTGAAAGGCTCCAGCACTGCAGCCGGCTCCGCTCCCACTATATTCACCAAGGGCTCCAAATCTATTTAGAAATAACATCACTGGCAATGAAGTTGAACAGTTGATTTGTTTCGGTTCACCTTCTTCAGCCCAAGGCATTTCTTCATCCTGCAGTGGCTTGAACGGCCGGGATTTTATTCCTGAAACCACGCATTAATAATTAATTCATCGGTAAGTTCCATCGTTATTACCTTTCTTCGGCGACTTTGCTTCATCATCCATAACAGAGGCAAAAATATCGACGGGTGGCCAGTCTTTAGCGTCAGTGACATTCTTGTAGATGTTAGTGAGATCCGTAAGGTCTGGAGTCATTGACTCTTTGTGGATGTTCTTGGAGAGAACTTGCGGAACTACAACGTCTTGTAAAGGTCCCGGGCCGATCGAACTGATCAATGGCTTTAAGTTGTCAATTTTCTCGCTGGTAGAGGGCAAATTACCTCAAAACCACCGATTGTTCGGTGGATTTCTCCTCAAACAATGTGTGGAACACTTGATCGGGATCGCATTCAGGAGTGACGCCGCTCTCTATTGTATGCATAATGTTGGCCAGTGTCTCTGGAGGAGTCTCAGTCAGGGCCTCATCTGCTGTTGGCACCGGATTTACTACAGACTGTTAAAAAGTTATTGATTATAGCAGCACTTGAAAGTTCTGGTGGCTCACTTCTTCCAGCAATAATATGGATTCGGTGGTTAGCCTCAGTTTCTGCAGTCGCTTCTTCGAAGCGTAGCGATCCTCTTGGAAGGTCAGATCCGGAGGGACCATCTTTAAGGTGTTTTCTACATCTTGCGTTTCTTCTTCAACCATATTGGCCAGTTCACTCGGGCTGATCTGAACCCTAGGCTGTAGACCGAAAGTTGGATATATTTTCAACCGCTGTGTGTGCGAAGGTGACTGAATACCTTAATCACTTCATGAACCACTTCTCTAGCAGTCGATGTGTATGAAGGGGTGACTGAGACAGTTTCCTTCACGGTAACCACGTCTTTGCCCTAAAGAGGATTGAGATAAGTGCCCTCGTAGAGCAAAAGTTGCTCAATTTACCTCTGAAGACAGTCCATAGTCGGGGTCTCTAAAACACGAGAAAATTTCAGCTCAAATCGTGCCTCTTTGGACAGTGGGACTTACAGCTGCTGCTCGCTGATGGTAACCCTGGTGCCTCCGGCTTTATCATCCATGTCGGTTATAGCGAAGTTCTTCACCACTCTTTCCGCCACATCGTCGCGCTCCACTCGCTTTTCGCTGTAAGTTTGTTGAAGCAGCCGCTCCATTCCTATAGAAGAAACATCAGGAATGTTTCTTTAATGTTCAGAGCCTTGAAGTACCTGCCGGGGTTTTCACCGCATTTTGTCCCTGGACTTTTTGACGATGACTCGACTGGGCAAACACTTTTTGGCCTCGATTGGCAATCGATCTTTCTAATAGCTGATGCCCGACTTGACCTTCCACTGGAATATTGATGAATTGCAAAAGATTGTTCAATATTGGTGTTGTTTGTCTTACGCATAGGGACCTCGGCGCTGGACATGTTGAACATCTCTTGGGCAGCTTCCCGGTTTTTCTTAAAGAAATTTAATTAGAAGACAGTGTGGCAATTCAGCCGTTTCCAGCGTTGATGGAAAATGAACCAACTGACTGAACTAGATGTTGAAATCAAGTAGAAATTGTACATGTGATTTGTTATAGGCCTTGGGCACTTACCTGGTTTACTTATTTGTGTTCATTTATTATCTAAAAATATTCATCTAAATTTAGACACGAGAGTTAATAAAAGAAATGTTTCTAAAAACACATTAATGAAACCAAGGAGAAATGGCACAAAAATCCATCCAGATATAACGTTAGGCTGATGGTACTTCGCCCACTAAATATACAGCCCTTTTTGCCCAGAAACTCCCATTTTCACACCGCAATTTAACAAATGATACAAAGTTATCAGCGCCTGGAAGCGCCAAATTTTCCAGGCCAGGCTCAGTCTTAAATAGTCCACATTTCAAACCCTTAGTTAAAGCTCCTTCATCCAACACAGCAGGTTGGATGATTATTGAAGGCAGCAGACTGTAGGAAGTCGCCGGGTTTAACTCAACCAATCCACAGTGGCGATCGCATCGGGCCCCCATAACAAAAACCCCATTAAAAACAGCTGCAAACTCACTAAGTTCTCCAGCGTCTGTGTCCATCGGCCCTTTATAGAGGAAATCGATGTTTTCTGGCATAACTTTCGCCTCCTTGGCATACTTTAGCTTGGTGAAAGCCAAAATCGCCCGGGGAAAGAAAAGCGCTCTTACTAAATAGGTGTTTGGTGTGAAATTTTCCAAAAAACGCACATTTTCCGAAAGGTCCTTCACAAATTGTGCCAGACTTGCCAAAGTGGGGTAGCACAGTTTCAGCCAAGCCTTTGGCACCGTGTTTTGCAAGATATTTAAGTCAATGTCCTCTAAAGAATCACTCAGCTCCAAGTCTCCTTGCAATGCCAACTTCAGATGCCTCAAATCTGCCCGGATTCTCTCCAAAAGCCTGCGATACATACGACTTTCTCTGGTTAGAAAGTCTTCGACAAACTTCCTTTGGATGTTGGCTGGAATCAGCTCGATCAGCTCGTCTACAGAGGCAAAAGTTCCTTTGTGGTTCCTACTACTAGGCTGTAGAGTTTGAAGCATTTGGGAACCAGCAGCCGAAAAATTCCTGATTGTTAATAACTGCTGTTCGGCTAACTGATGCTCAGTCAAATAGAGCGAATCAGCTGCCTCCTGTTCTGGCAGGCCCTCAATGTGCCTCAAATAGTCGCGTCGATCATTCTTGCTGGGGAGAGTCTGAATCCGACCTCCATTAGACTGTCCTGTATTTTTTCCCAGAACCTTCTCGCTTACACAAGTCTTGAGCATTTCCAGAACAAAACTCTTTTCATGGTTGCTGCCCAAATGCCCGTTGTAAATACACTCGCCAATAACAAAGTAAACTTTCTCAAACAGGCAAATTTGCTCGTTAACACTCTCCCGCAAAAGCTCCAATGAATGCCCAAGATCTGCCTCCTCAAACCTCCACATCACATTCCAGTTCCTGAACTTACGCCGCTGCTGGAGCAAAGTGTGAAAGTTGCATAAA